GGGGGAAATCAGACAGGGATCCCGCTCCTGATCACTGTCCAGCAACAACGGGGTCAGATAGAGAGATAGAGACAGAGAGAGAGAGAGAGAGAGATGGGGGGAAATCAGACAGGGATCCCGTTCCTGATCACTGTCCAGCAACACCGGGGTCAGACAGAGAGACAGAGAGGGAGAGACAGGGATATCAGCCATGGATCCTGCTCCCGGTCACTGTCCTGTGATCCCTGGGTTAGAGAGGGAGAAGGAGAGGGGAAATCTGCCAGGACTCCTGCTCTATCCTTAAAGTACCCGAAGAATACTGGCTAAGCCTAGGATGATATTCTGCTGTAACACTAGTTTTAGAAATTTGCCTATTCTCACTCTCTGAGCTCCCTGACCCTTACTGGAGAAGCCTGCGGAAATGTGAAAATGATCACCCTCATTTGATTGTTAATTGTGTTCAGGGGTAGCTCAAGTTTCTGAGTTTGCTGGTTTGAGTTCTGCAGTGCAGCACTGACAGAGTACTGCACAACCTTCACATGAGATGTTAAACCAAGGTCTCATCTGTCCCTCGCCTGGATGTCAAAGATACTCTTAAAGAAGAATAGTGGCAATTTCCTTGTGTCCTGGCCAATATAAATCCCTGAATTGACATCCCGAAAATTGATTATTTATTATTACTACTGTATTATTTGTGAGACCTTATTTATCTCAAATTAATAAGGTATTTTCCTCCTTTACAACAGTGACATTGACCACACTTCAAAAGTACCTCCTTGGATCCAGAGTATTTTCAGATGTCCTGTGGGTGTGAGAGGCAGTTATATAAATGCAGGTTGGTCTAATTTTCCATGGTCCAGAATTCATTCCAAAATCTGTCCCCTATTATTGATCGACCTGTTGGTTCCACCCTGCGTTCCTTTGTTGAACTGAGTCAGTGCAGGATTCTGGGCTGCGATGAGCACAAGTGCCAGGACCACTCTCATAGTTTCACAGCCCAGCACGGCTCAGCCTGGCATTGAGCTCAGGTCAGAGGGACTGTCCCCGTCAATGCCCAGGCATATCGAGAGAGATGGTAGGAGAGAGGGATAATGGGAGAAAGGGTACAAAAAGTGGCAGAGATATAGAGAAAAACAAAAAAAAGAGAGATGAGGATAGGAAATTTTTGGAGGAAGTGACAAAGATGATCGATGAATGTAGGGCAGTAGTTGTTGTCTACATGGACTTCAGAAAGGCCTTTGACAAGGTCCATTATGGCAGGCTGATACAGAAGGTAAAGTTGCATGGGGTCAGTGGTGAGCTTGCAAGATGGATAAAAAACTGGCTCGGTCATAGAAGACAGAGGGTGGCAATGGAAGGGTGCATTTCTGAATGGAGGGCTGTGACTAGTAGCGTTCCTCAGGGATCAGTGTTGGGACCTTTGCTATTTGTAATATATATAAATGATTTGGAGGAGAATGTAACTGGTCTGATTAGAAAGTTTGCCGATGACACAAAGGTTGGTGGAATTGCGGATAGCGATGAGGACCATCAAAGGATACAGCAGGATATAGATCGGTTGGTGTCATGGGCAGAGAGATGGCAGATGGAGTTTAATCCGGAAAAATGTGAGGGAATGCATTTTGGAAGATCTAAAGCAGATGTAAAATAAACAGTAAATGGCAGAACCCTGAAGAGTACTGATGGGCAGAGGGAACTGGGTGTACAGGTACACAGGTCACTGAAAGTGGCCACGCAGGTGGAGAAGGTAGTCAGCAAGGCATATGGCATGCTTGCCTTCATCAGCTGGGGCATTGAGTTTCAAAATTGGCAGGTAATATTGCAGCTTTATAGAACCTCAGTTTGGCTGCATTTGGAATATTGTGTTCAATTCTGATCGCTACACTACCAGAAAGATGTGGTGGCTTTGGAGAGGGTACAGAAAAGATTTACCTGGATGTTGCCTGGTATGGAGGGCATTGCTATGAGGAGAGATTGGAGAAACTTGGGTTGTTCTCACTGGAACGACGGAGGTTGAGGGGTGGCCTGATAGAGGTCTACAAGATCATGAAGGGCATGGACAGAATGGACAGTCAGAGCTTTTTCCCAGGGTGGAAGAGTCAGTTACTAGGGGCCACGAGTTTAAGGTGCAAGGGGCAAGGTTTAAATGTGATGTATGAGGCAAGTTTTTTACACAGAGGGTGGTGGGTGCCTGGAACTCACTGCCGGGGAGGTAGTGAAAGCAGATACTATAGTGACTTTTAAATGGCGTCTTGACAAATACGTGAATAGGATGGGACTAGAGGGATACGGTCCCCAGAAGGGTAGGGGGTTTTAGTTGTGATGGGCAGCATGTCGGTGCAGGCTGGGAGGGCCTGTTCTTCTTTGTTCTTTGTTTATCATTGCCAGGGTGTTAGGTAATCTAGCCCATCAAGAGAAAGAGATAAGGAGAGAGGTAAGACATTGAGTGAGTGATAGTATGGAATCAACTTGTGCTTTTATGGCATTGTCAATGCATCAACAAATAAAAGTTGACATTGAGCCACGTAAGGAAATATTAATGCAGCTGTAAGATCACAGGGTTTGTCAAAAACTTGTTGTAAAGAAGGAAAGTGAGGTATGGGAGAGAGAGGGGGAGTTGAGAGCGCAGGACCCAGGCAGTGAAGGAACAGTCTCTGGTGGTGGAGAGATTGACATTGGGAATGTGCAAGAGGCGGGACATGGAAGACCACAGCTGGATGTCACGGTGATTCTGGGGCTTTGTACCACTGCAGCATAACCTGCCAGCAGGAAATTGCAGTGACCCTTGTGATTGATGCATGTGGTTCACCTCTATCACCCCTCGCTCCGTGTCCTCACCCACTGGGTACAAAGGTGGAGAAAGGAATGCTGGGTAGATGGGGTTAGGGTCGGGTTTTGGGTGAGGGGCTGCTGGGAGGGTGTGGGGAGGGGTTAGCTTGGGGTTTCCAACTCTGCTCTTACTTTGAGGTGAATTACAAATAACAAGTGACTCTTCATGACACAATGAGTTTGGATTTGAGTGGGAACTGAATTTCATTTTTCTGCCAAACTTTCTAGAGCTGGATTTGCTCCATAAAGCAAGAGGGTGGGACTGTGGCAGAGAATTAGGTGAAACCTGGGTTCAGGGATTAGCAGCAACACAGTGTCTGCTAGGACCCAGGCTAGTTCATGTGGATGAGAGTGTGGTGATCATTCTAGGGGCTGCACCTCCCTACATGGCTATATCGAAGCTGGGCAGCCCTGGAATTGTAGGAGGATAACCTCGAGGAACGGAATGGAGGGACAAAGCAGAAGCCTTTTGTTTCCCCTTCACTCATTCTGACTCAGTTTCTGCAGCATCTCAGTTTGTACACCTCCTGTTCAACTTCCCCTGCTGCTGCAGGACCAGTGCCAGACTATTGGAGCTGGCATGTTCTTCCATATACTCACATCTTGCTGTGATCCTGCTGCAAATCTCCAGTGACCTTTTACACTCTGAGCAACAAAGTTTCATTTGGAATTTGAGCAGAGTTGATGGGCAAACAAACATGCTTCCATCAGGACAGCAACAAAGCAGTGAGTTTCAATTCCTCCGTGGCAGTCCCTCAAATTTAATCTCTGATTCTGTTCTGGATTTAATCCCTGTCTGAGTTTAATCCTTGATTCAATCCCAGGTTCAATCCCCATCCAATGTTTAATCTATCATTCTGTCCCGGGTTTGATCCGTGATTCTGTCCCGGGTTTGATCCGTGATTCTGTCCCAGGTGTAATCTGTGATTCTGTCTTGGGTTTGATCCATGATTCTGTCCTGGGTGTAATCCGTGATTCTGCCCCATGTTTAATCCGTGATTCTGTCCCGGGTGTAATCCGTGATTCTGTCCCAGGTATAATCTCTGTCCCTGGTTAAATCTGTGATTCAGTCCCGGGTTCGATCTGTGATTCTGCCCCGTGTTTAATCTGTGATTCTGTCCCGTGTTTAATCTGTGATTCTGTCCTGGGTTCGATCTGTGATTCTGCCCCGTGTTTAATCTGTGATTCTGTCTCGTGTTTAATCTGTGATTCTGTCCCCTGTTTAATCCGTGATTCTGTCCCGGGTTTAACCTGTGATTCTGCCCCGTGTTCGATCCGTGATTCTGTCCCGGGTTTGATCCGTGATTCTGTCCCCTGTTTAATCCGTGATTCTGTCCCGGGTTTAACCTGTGATTCTGTCCCGGGTTTGATCCGTAATTCTGTCCCCCGTGTAATCTGTGATTCTGTCCCGGGTTTGATCCGTGATTCTGTCCCAGGT